ATCGAGAACAGCTTGGAGTGAAATACTACAGGTACTGAGACAGAATAGCTTCCAACCAAGAATGATGTACTCTGCCAAACTGTCCCTCAAATTCAATGGAGAAATAAAATATTTTCACGACAAAGAACAATTGAAGAACTTCATGAGCACCAAGCCAGCATTACAAAGAGTACTAAAAGATATACTGGACAGAGAAAAACCTGACTGCAATCTCAAAAACTGCAGTAGGAATGAAACATCAAGAAGAGCAAACAGGTAAACAGGTAGAAAAAGTAGGACATCAATGCAAGTAAATAATGTGACAATGGTAAATCAGTACATATTGGTTGTGACTATAAATGTAAATGGCCTCAATTCTCCAGTCAAAAGAAACAGACTAGCAGAGTGGATTAAAAAACAAAATCCAGCAATATGTTGTATACAGGAAACACATTTCACTGAAAAGGAAATCCACAGACTAAAAGTCAAAGGTTGGAAAACAATCCTTCATGCAAAAGGAACCCAGAAAAAAGCAGGAGTAGCTATTCTGTTTGCAGACCATATAAACTTCAAACTGACAACAATCAAAAGAGATACAGAAGGTCACTACATACTAGTCAGGGAAAAACTTCAAGAGGATGAGATAACAATCATAAAAATCTATGCACCAAATGTCGGAGCTCCAAATTATATAAGGCAAGTCTTAGCAGGCATGAAAACCAATATAATTAATAACACTATCATAACAGGGGACCTTAACACCCCATTGACACAAAGAGATAGGTCAAGTGGACAAAAAATCAGCAAGGAAATAACAGATCTGAAGCAAAGCTGTGAACAAATGGACTTAGTAGATGTCTACAGAGTGTTCCACCCCACAACATGAGAATATACATTTTTCTCAACTGCACATGGGTCACTCTCTAAAATAGACCACATCTTAGCCCATAGAACATACCTTCCAAAATGCAAAAAATTGAAATTATTCCATGCATATTATCTGATCACAGTGCAGTGAAATTGGAAATAAATGACTAAAGGAACTCCAAAAACTCCACAAACACTTGGAAAGTAAATAGCAACCTCCTGAACAACCAATGGGTCACAGAAGAAATTAAAGAGGAAATTAAAAAATACCTACAAACAAATGAAAATGTAAATACAACTCACCGGAATCTATGGGATGCAATGAAAGCAGTCCTCAGAGGTAA